TGTTCCATCTTCAAGCGATTTTTTTTTGGAATAATTTCAGAAATACGTTATTCCAAAAAAATTTCGCTTAAAGATGGAACAGAGCTTATTTTAACTCAATTTAATTTAGATAATTATATCGAAGTTTTCGGCTATTGTTTTGAAACATGAGACTTCTTATGTAGCGTTTTGGAATCATATTTTTAAATAAATAATTATATTTATGCTCTACTTTTGTATCGAGCACTATTTTTTTTAAAATAATAACTAAAATACTAAGGGACTTTGGATTATTTACCTAACCAGTTCCTTCCTATTTTCTATATATTTTCACATATATATATATATATATATATATATATATATATATATACACGCACACACACTACAGTTCAAAATTTTGTAGAACCCCTGATAATTAATAAGAGAAAATTATTGTACATGGTTAAAAAATAAAAAAGTGAGACATGTTTTTTTTATATTATGAAAAAAATTTTTTAAAATTATTAGATTTTGCTCTCGTCAAAATGTCCTCCTTTCGCACAAATCTTTCGACATTTGTTGCAAAAGTTTCTCAAAGTGTAAATAATTAATTCCATTTATGTTTTTAATGTCTCTAAAAATTCTTTTTCTGTTTTTTCTTTTTTTGCGGGGGGGGGTTCACTCTTCTGTCAAGATCATCGCATGGTAATTCGGCGAGTTGCTTCCAGCTTTTGAACCGTAATGTCTATATATCATCTTGTCTGGTGCTAACAGTTGCTTTCCAAGCGTATCTTCCATATGGCCGAAAGTACGGGGCACCCAGTGAGGATCGAACTCACTACCCAGTCGTAATTGTTCCAGCGAGACAAGCTTGCTAACCATTACAGCACCTGGAGGTGCCCTTGTCTGGTGCTAATACTCTATATGTCTCAAAATTCTTGATAAATTTCAAAGCAGTGTCTATTATCTAATCGATCCTTACCAAAGCATCTCAACTTCAGTCGATTTCCCGCCGACGTGACGTGGCTTCACTCTGTCTTCTCAACAAATATTTTCATGGCAATTGCTCTGAGAAGCTTTCCTCTTCGGTGCCTCGAATTCAGAAATTTAAACGTGTTACTAGATTGGCCAATAGATGTCATCATTTTACTGTTGAATCGGCTAGATGCGACCGTCATTCCTATTTTAGTAATTTCTTCCCTCGCACATCTCGCCTGTGGAACCCTCTTCCAATTTCTTGCAACCCCGCCACCTATATTCTTTAAAAAAATTAAATGAAACGCTAATCACTATCTTTAGTCTTCCTGAAACGTGAGCTTCTTGTTTTACTTTCTCCTCACAAAAGTGTTTTTATTCTCTTGCGTCTTAGGAGCATTATCTCCTTGCATATGTGAATTGATTAACAAAACGTTATTTTTCAATGGGCACCCAGTCAAAATAATATTTATAATAATTAGAATTAATGTCGGATAAAAAAATATTTCAGATATAGTCATCTACAGACAGACAGTTTTGCATCTGATCAGCGTAGGTATATAAACCCGACCAATACAAAATCAGTCGGAGATTCTAATCGCTAGGCCATCCACACACGGCAGATGGACAATTGAATTTTTGCGTATTTAATTTTTCAATAAACACACCAGTCACTCAGAGAACTCAATCGCTACGAGAGTCTTGCATTATCAGCAGTAATAGTGACTGTTTACAAATTCGTTACTCTCCATATATATATATATATTTATATATATATATATAACAAGTCAAGAAAATCCTTAAGAATCCATATCGGATTTATATTAACACATGAATATATTTAATAAATATATAAATATGAAATAAATTATAACCGAGATGGATTCTTAAGGATTTTCTTGACATTATTATTATTGTTATTATTATTATTATTATTATTATTAGTAGTAGTAGTAGTAGTAGTATTATGATTATTATTATTATGATTATTATTATGATGATTTTTATGATTATTATTATTAGTAGTATTAGTATTATTATGATTAATATTATATTATTATGATTATTATTATGATGATTTTTATGATGATTATTATTATTATTATTATAGTGTTCCTCTGTTACTTACATTAAACTCTCTTTTGATTAATGTCCGCTTTGGAATTATCCTAACAATTAACAATTGACATCACACACACATGTATATATATATATATATATATATATATATATATATATATATATATATATATATATATATATATATATATATATATATATGTCAAATGTGTGTGTGTGTGTGTGTGTGTGTGTGTGTGTGTGTGTGTGTGTGTGTGTAGGCGGTGTAATGGTTAGAAAGCTTTGTCTCGCTATAACAATTACCACTGATTGGTGAGTTCGATTCTCATTGGGTGCTGCATACTTTCGGCCTTGTGCCACATCTAAGCTACGCTTGGAAAATCACTATATATATATATATATATATATATATATACATATATATATATAAAGAGATAGATAGATAGATAGATAGATAGATATTGAAGAGACTGAAATAGATAGATAGATAGATAGATAGATAGATAGATGCATATATGCATATGAAGTAAAGTAAACATAAAATACATCTGACTGAAAATAAGCAATATTAGACAAAAAAATTTTTTAAATATCTTTCTACAAGAAATGAAATTATTGTAATTTCTATAGATCTATATACGTAAATGAATGCGCCATTATAGAATAATGAATGCTTAGAGAGTAAATACATATATATATATATATATATATATATATATCAAAATTATAAACGAAAATTTTAAAAACGCACATCTTGACATGTGTCACAAATAAATTGGCGTCATTAGTAAACAAAATTTATTTGATCGAGAATGAGGCAACAATGATTTCCTTTTTATATATATATATATATATATATATATATATATATATATATATATATATAATTTAAAGAAAAACAGACTACTTTAAGGCTCCATTTGTAATAATTTATTTCACCAGTAAATTTTATTTTTCTCTGGATCTTCAGATTTGACTTTCAAAAGGTGCAAAGAAAAATGAATTTAAAATTTAAATTACTGACGGGCAGTATTAACCTTATATAAGTTGACATAGAAGGTAGCGAGGAATAGTGTGAGAGATATGGTCGAGTTTAGAGAGGGAAGGGAGAGTTTTAAAATTTAATTTTTATATTTCTTTTTACAATACTTAATATTGAGGAAGGAAGGGGTAAGGATCAGACATTGGCTTATTTAATCGGTCAACGAAAATGATATGGGAAAAGGAAAAGGAGAAAAAAGGAAAAAGAAAAAAGGGGGAAAGTAAAGAGATAAGAGATGTACTTAGGGTTTACGGAAGAAGAAGAGGGGTGGTATAGCTTTAGCAATTTAGATAAAAATAGATTTTAACGTTTGATAGTATTTTAAATGTTTAAAAACTCCACAAAGGAATTAAATTTAATGCTTGTTAGTAATTTAAATATTCAACTTCTTTACAAATAAATTTGGGATTTAATATAAGTCGAATATTATATTAATAAGCAACAATAAGAAAAAAAAAATAAAATTTACTAATAGTAATATTTTAATATTGTGAATGACTGTCCAGGTAAAATCTTTATCAATTAGAGTCTAATTTATGAATTTAATTTGTAGCTATTTTTAGATGGGTAATATTTCTTAATTAAAGTTTAGGTTTCAAATCAAGATGGAGTAAGATTTGAAGGTAATACACCACATACATACATACATACATATATATATATATATATATATATATATATATATATATATATATATATATATGTAAACGTTATTTTTAGTCGATACTGAATTTATGTATTAAACACTATGTTTGTTTATTTTCTTCTACTGGTTGGAATATTCGAAACATCTTATTAAAGAAAAATATGCGTTCTTCGACAGGATTAGTAAGTGCGTCCCCTTGGGCAGAAGGAACCTTTATTAGATCCGACGTGCCCTTCACCGACTCGACTACGAAGAACTTACCTGATTAATCAAGGTTGAATAAAATCCATCCAAGTCTTCTCGTCATAGACTCCGAAATTTTCACATCTGTTCAGTATCTTATCCATTCATTAAAAAGGCAATGTTCCGATGAAGTATTAGATTTTTATTTATTTAACCAACAGATGTCCTGTGTTCCTTTGGATTCTTTTGGTACGGCTGAGAGCGGTTCCATATGGTATGGGCCGCACACACCATCGCCCAGGGTAGCCAACGTTCGGGCTGAGGCCAGGGTTCGAACTCCCTGTTATTTTCCTGGGGTTGCGATCTCAGCAACGTCGGAAAGTGCTAGAAAACCATGCCACCGGTAGACGGAATTAACGGTGAATGATTGTGCTAGCGCGAATCAAAAGTCATCGTGACCGAGGGTATGAGTGTTGAACTGGTCTTGTTAAACCTTTGAATCGCGCCAAATGATGCTTTCTCCCCAAGAAACTCTAAGATCCGCCCCACTTAGTTTCACTATGAAACACGTGTCGGCTCTGTAGGTGTTTAACAAACACTAATGTGACTCGGCAGGCGTTTTGCAACAGTAATTTGTTATCCGTCCTAACAGACATGCATACATCGAAGCGAGCGTTCATTCATTTATACAGGGTGACCCCAAAAAACGGGAATTTTTGAATGCCTATTGCCAGACATGAGCAAGTGGCAACACTGCGAGACAGTGACATTGAGCAAGTAAATATTTCGCCATTTTGAATTCAAGATGAAATTCACAGTATCCAAGCTGAGATTTTGCAGCAGTCAATGAGGAATCACAACAGCAGATTTCAAGAATGCATTCGTACAGGAGGGCGCTATCTACAGGATGTAATTTTTAAAAAAATGAAAATTCCATCATTGTTTCTTAAATGGCATGTTTTAAGGTTTCAATTACTATCAATAAAATATTTTTCTTCCATCACTCTTGGTTTTATTGGATTGTTAAAAAGTTCCCGTTTTTGGGGGTCATCCTGCATATATATATATGTGTGTGTGTGTGTGTGTGTCTATGTGTCTGTGTGTGTGTGTGTGTCAAGAAAGAGAAAGAGTGATGAAGATAGATAGATAGATAGATAGATAGATAGATAACCATATATAGAGGGTGACCCAAAATAACTGAAATTTTTGAAGTGCATATTGCCAGACATGAGCAAGTGGCAACATTGCGAGACAGTGACCTTGAGCAAGTAAACATTTCGCCATTTATAATTCAAGAAGAAATTCACAGTATCCAAGCTGAGATGTTGCAGCAATCAATGAGGAATCTCAACAGCAGATTTCAAGAATGCATTCGTACAGGTGGACGCCATCTACAGGACGTAATTTTTTTTTAAATGAAAATTCCATTATTGTTTCTTAAATGGCATGTTTTAAGGTTTCAATTACTGTGAATAAAATATTTTCCTTCCATCACTCTTGGTTTTATTGGATTGTTAAAAAGGTCCCGTTTTTTGGGGTTTCTCTGTATATTCATTCCCAATTACAGCTATAACTATCGCTAGAATTTCTCCCTCCTACCTCTTCTATCGTATTACTATCTCCTATTCCTACCTTTCCTCCCCTACCCCTCACTCTTAGGACGCTTGTGAGATGTGCCTGAACTTTTGACCGTTGTTATCGGCAAGGAATCTTCACAGACTAGTCAGCATTAAACATCTCATACAACCTTTACCAAACTTCTATCAACAAGCACTATTGTTCGCTCCTTCATTTTTTTTTGCTTATATATATATATATATATATATATATATATATATATATATATATTCTGAAGCAAATGGAAGAAAGGAAGTGATGTTTCGCATACGGCTTGCCTACAAGCAGAATTGTTCATAACCATTTTTGGTCCTCACCAGTCGAGGTGCAATTGAAAAGCACCGAAACGAAATTGCATCTTTGTAGTGAGTAAACTGTTTTTTTCTATATGATAAAATTATAATATATATATATATATATATGTGTGTGTGTGTGTGTGTGTGTGTGTGTGTGTGTGTGTAAAATATATAGAAAAATAGGAAAAACTCGTTAGGTAATCCGGAGTTGTTTCGTATTTTTGCTTTTATTTTTAAAAAAAACAGTGCTCGATACAAAAGTAGAGCCTAAATTATAATTATTTTTTTAAATATGATTCCTTCCTTACATAAGAGTTCTCCTGTTTCAAAAACAAGAGCCAAAAACTTCAAAATAATTATTAAAATTAAACTGAATTAAATTATCAACCTCTGTTTCATCTTCAAGCGAAATTTTTTCATGAGATTTTAATTTTTGTTACTTCAGACGTTATTTTTATTCGATAACCAAATTTGAGTACACACTCCGTTTATTTAAATAACGTTTATCAGGCCGACAGACGAAATGAACGCTGTTTCAATCAATTGAGCCTCTATTCAAATATGGGTATCCACTAAAATTGGCGTTGTATCAGAACGGTCCGGTTTCGATTCTTGGTAGTGGATGCGCACTGCTGATGAGTCCCAGATAGGACGAAACGGCCGTCCAGTACTTTCTGCATTCTGTTGAGGATTATTCTAGGTTCGACGAATTACTATATGATTAGCCTAAATACCCGAAATAATCACACACACACACACACACACACACACACACATATATATATATAATTATTTCCATAATTATAATTATTTCCATAATGGATAATTTTTTCACGTCCTAATGAATGCTCAGCGCATTGTCAACCGTTTTGCATTTAATAGCATAATGAAAAAATTACGCTAATGGATAACAACGGATAACTTTGTATCTAATGAACAACATATAGTTTTGTCCTACTTGCACCCCTGAAGATGATCTTCGAAGAAGATTGAAAAGTACTTGGGAAATGAAAATAAAAGAAATTTAAACAGCTATAACACATTTCTTTCATCCTTTTAACATCACTACCCAGAAAGTTATTATGAATATGAACGGATTTTCTTAAAATTAGCAGATATAATGTCTGTTTATTTATTCAATCAGACATGTCTAAAAGAGAGTTTGCTGCTTAAATACACACACACACACACACATATATATATATATATATATATATATATATATATATATATATATATTTAAGCATTTCACCCCTAGCCAGGTGGGAAGCCACTAGTACGCAAGGGGTTACAGAGGATTTGGAGCGAGGGCAGATATGAGTGATAGAAGAAAGGATGAGGAGAGGGATAGTGGATAGATCAAGTCAACTGGAGATGTCGATTGACATTACATTTGAATAGTTGGAGATTATAGCTATCAGAGAAACAGGAATAGGGAAGGGAGTTCCACAGGCGAGAGGTGCGAGACATGAAGCTAAGAGACGGCTACATTAGATAGATAGATAGATAGATAGATAGATAGATAGATAGATAGATAGAAGCAGAATGAGATAGATAGATAGATAGATAGATAGATAGATAGATAGATAGATAGATAGATAGAAGGGTCTCACCCTTTCAAAAGTGAAAGGGTGAGAGCGGGATGCCAGCCTCGTAGGGCGCTTGAACTCATGAAGTCTGGGAACCAGCGAAGGCAGCTC